TTGAGAGTAAATGCGCCAGACACCTGGACTCACTAGGAAGCGGAAAACGCTTGGACGGGTTATCGTCCAATACAGTCATTTGCGTGATCAGCCGATGCATAACTCTATCATTTTATCCACCCAGACAACCCTGGTGATCAGTAACGGGCCCGAGAATGGACAATAAGGTTCTTATATGAAAGACCCAATTTATGGACCCGGAAGTTTTGAAAATACCACAAAAAATAACAAATAGCCAATAACTCATGTTCATTAAGCTTGCAAAAGACATCGTCTACCATGGGAATGATCGTTACAAAGTATGGAAACTTTATGATGCTTATATGGAAGGCAAAAGTGACGATATCAAGGAGGCTTTCACCAATAACTATGTGAACGTAAAGTATGTGCATAAAGCATAATATTTCACTACATTTAGAGGAGATTCTTGTCTTTCTAGGCAACTCGAATTCATGAAAAAACGCCTAAAAGCAATTCTAGGATACTACTTGACGAGGGATCAAATAGAGAGGGTGAGTTGGCAGGTTGACTTAAGCCTTATAAACCAGATTGCAGCAGAAACTGTACGCAGTACTGTCAAGAAGACGATAAATTCCAGGTAGAAAAAACACTAGAAAAAGAGGTGGCTAAAAAGAAATCGTATCAGGACCTCATCGCAGCCGTGGAGACCGCAGTGGCTAAGGTATGAGCAATTACAAATAAATCTAGCCAAGCTAGGGACAGAGAAAGGGACAAGATGGTAACGTTCATACTAAGCGATATATTGATCGACCGATATTGACACATTAAGCAGGGTTAGTCTTCGTAGAAATCCGGATGGCCTTGACAAGTCACCTTCATGAATTTTGGCATTAACAGCGTTTCATGGAACAGTTTCCTCCAAGAAGAGGTTACCCCTCTTATGCTCCGCAACCGCAGCGAACGCGATGACGCCTCCTGACCCACCTATATACCTGCCCTTTACTTGAGCATGACCTGATTCCTCCAAAATACCAAAGAAATCGGTGTCACCTTATTAAGGCATATAAGATTCACGGAAGGACTAGACCAAAACTAATCAATTACTATTAAGGACATTGGAAAAGAGAAAGCTAAAAGGGCTGTGGAAAAGACGATCAAAGACCTACGTCTTCTCGAAAAACAAAACGTTGGATGGCTCGAAAAAGCCAGCAAGCTCTTCTTCTCGTTGATAAAACATGACGAACACTAGAACTTTGAAGAAGGCAAATTGATGGCGCAGTATTTGTAGCCCAAGTGATTTTAGGAATCGATTAAAGTTTTTTCCCTGTCTACAAACTTCGCTTTTCTACACACTACCAAGATGGTACGGTCGTTTTCATGTTACACTTGTGGCATTGCATGAACTCCCGTCCAATTAGGACTTCTGCACCATAAATTTATGCTTTCATATCCATTCCGGAAGAACTACGAATAATAACTAATCACTCATAAATAAATATATATATATGTATATAATTATATTATATAAAATTAAATCACTGCGGATTTCAGTACGTATGAGTAGCTCAAAAAGCCTTTTCACCCTCCGAACATATGACACTAAATTATCCGATAGCGACCTGAAGATGCATTTATACCCACCTTGCAGTTTACCCACTTCGTTTAACTTCCATCACTTCCTTCGCATTTGAACGCCGTGGTGCCAACATGGGTAAATATCTAGTGTGCCCACAATGTCGTTTTTAAAAAAGGAAATGAAATCAATGGTTAGTTCGAAGTGCATGCATGGGTAGACAGCACAATAAAAATGGC